CATTACTTTGCTAGCGTATGAGACGAGTGCAATTGTGCGGTAGTTTGAGCATTCTTTGGCATTGCCTTTCTTTGGGATTGGAATGAAAACTGACCTTTTCCAGTCTTGTGTCCATTGCTGAATTTTCCAAATTTGCTGACATATTGAGTGCAGCACTTTCACAGAATCATCTTTTAGGATTTGAAATAGCTCAACTGGAATTCCATCACCTCCACTAGCTTTGTTCGTAGTGATGCTTCCTAAGGCCCACTTGACTTGGCATTCCAGGATGTCTGTCTCTAGGTGAGTGATCACACCATCATGATTATCTGGGTCATGAACGGTTTTTTGTTTTTGTTTTTGTTTTTTTTGGTACAGTTCTTCTGTGTATTCTTGCCACCTCTGAATATCTTCTGCTTCTGTTAGGTCCATATCATTTCTGTCCTTTATTGTGCCCATCTTTGCATGAAAAGTTCCCTTGGTATCTCTAATTTTCTTGAAGAGATCTCTAGTCTTCCCCATTTTACTGTTTTCCTCTATTTCTTTGCACTGATCACTGAGGAAGTCTTTCTTATCTCTCCTTGCTATTCTTTGGAACTCTGCATTCAAATGGGTATTTATTTCCTTATCTCCTTTTCCTTTTGAAAACCACAATCACAGAAAACTAACCAATATGATCACATGGACCACAGCCTTGTCTAATTCAATGAAACTATGAGCCGTGCCATGTAGGGCCACCCAAGATGGACAGGTCATGGTGAAGAGTTCTGACAGAATGTGATCCACTGGAGAAGGGAATGGCAAGCCACTTCAATATTCTTGCCTTGAGAACCCCATGAACAGTATGAAAAGGCAAAAAGATAGGACACTGAAAGATGAACTCCCCAGGTCAGTAGGTGCCCAATATGCTACTGGAGATCAGTGGGGAAATAACTCCAGAAAGAATGAAGAGACAGAGCCAAAGCAAAAACAACACCCAGTTGTGGATGTGACTGGTGATAGAAGCAAAGCCCGATGCTGTAAAGAGCAATATTGCATAGGAATCTGGAACGTTAGGTCCATGAATCAAGGCAAGTTGGAAGTGATCAAATGAGATGGCAAGAGTAAACACCGACATTTTAGGAATCAGCAAACTAAAATGGACTGGAATGGGCGAATTTAACTCAGATGACCATTGTATCTAGTACTGTGGGCAAGAATCCCTTAGAAGAAATGGAGTAGCCATCATAGTCAACAAAGGAGTCCAAAATACAATATTTGGATGCAATCACAAAAACAACAGTCAAAGTAATCCAAGTCTATGCCCTGACCAGTAATTCTGAAGAAGCTGAAGTTGAATGGTTCTATGAAGACCTACAAGACCTTCTGAAACGAACTCCCAAAAAAGATGTCCTTTTCACTATAGGGGACTGGAATTCAAAAGTAGGAAGTCAAGAAATTCCTGGACTAGCAGGGAAATTTGGCCTTGGAGTACAGAAAAAAGCTGGGAAAAGGCTGAGTGTTGCCAAGAGAACGCACTGGTCATAGCAAACACCCTCTTCCAACAACACAAGAGAAGACTCTACACATGGACATCACCAAATGGTCAATACCAGAATCAAATTGATTATATTCTTTGCAGGCAAAGATGGAGACACTCTTCGCAGTCAGCAAAAACAAGACCAGGAGCTGACCATGGCTCAGATCATGAACTCCTTATTACCAAATTCAGACTTAAATTGAAGAAAGTAGGGAAAACCACTAGACCATTCCGGTATGACCCAAATCAAATCCCTTATGATTACACAGTGGAGTGACAAAAAGATTCAAGGGATTAGATCGGATAGACAGAGTTCCTGAAGAACTATGGACAGAGGTTCATGACATTCTACAGGAGGCAGTGATCAAGACCATCCCCAAGAAAAAGAAATGCAAAAAGGCAAAATGGCTGTCTGAGGAGGCCTTACAAATAGCTGTGAAAGGAAGAGAAGTGAAAGGCAAAGGAGAAAAGGAAAAATATACAGACAGCCTATGGGGTCACAAAGAGTCAGACACAACTCAGCAACTAAACCACACCATCACATATCTATGATAAAGTTTAACTTATAAATCAGGCATAGCAAGAAATTAACAACAATAATTAATAAAATATAACAACTTTAACAACATCATAATAAATGTTATGTGAATGCTATTTCTCTCTCCTTCCCTTTCCTTCTCCTCCCCCATCTAACTATCTTACTGTACAAATTTAATGCATTTTCCATGCTCACTAAGCATTTCTCATGCACTGTGGCCATAGCTTTTGCAATTTGAGGCACAACAGCAAAACTAGCAAATTTCTTTTTCCTTTTTCACGATTTTATGGATAGGAAATTTATTAATACCATAGATGTTAGCAATCTCAGCATACCTTTTTTTTTTATTAAGCGGGGCATATTTCACCTTTCCACTTTAAGGAAGCACGTTGTGGCTACTCTTTCACATATTCAAATTGCCAGCATCACTACTCTGGCAGTTTGGAACCACTGTTAAGTAAAATAAGGGTTGCCTGAACACAGCACTGTGATACCGACCACAGTTTATCTGATAACACGGTGGCTTCTAGATGACTCAGGGGCTGGATATAATAGTCAGAGGATGATTCTCATCCCAGGTGGGATGGAGCAGAATGGCACAAGATTTTATTATCCTACTCAGAACAGCATGAAATTTAAAAAAAAAAAAAACTAGAAAGTGTTTATTTCTGGAATTTTCTGTTTAATATTTTCAGACCTCAGTTGACCATAGGTAAGTGAAACCAGCTGAAACTACAGATGATGTGGGCAGGGTGACTACTGTACAATAAATCATCTTCAATGATTGCTTTCCTTGAACACTGGTGAAGTACTTGAAAACAATTGTTTTGTCATACGGTGGTAGTTTTATTCCTAGCTGCTGGGCATATACCCTGTGTGTGTTAGTTGCTCAGTCATGTCTGACTTTTTGCAACCCCATGGACTGTAGCCCACCAGGCTTCTCTGTGGGATTCTCCAGGCAACAATACTGGAGTGGATTGTCATTCCCTTCTCCGGAGAATCTTCCCTACCCAGGGGTCAAAACCTGGTCTCCTGCATTGCAGGCTGGTTCTTTACTGTTTGAGCTACAGGGAAGTCTCTAAGGAAACCATAATTGAAAGAGACACATGCACTTCAGGGTTGACTGAAGCACTGTTTACAGTGGCCAGGACATGGAAACAACCTAGATATCCATCAACAGATGAATGGGTCGAGAGTCTGTGCTACATACACGCAGGGGAATGTTGCTCATCTATTAAAAGGAATGCAGTTGAGTCGGTTCTAGTGAAGTGGATGAACCTAGAGCCTATTATACAGAATGAAGTAAGTCAGAAAGGGAAAAACAAATATCATATGTTAATGCATATATACGGAATCTAGAAAGATGGCACTGATGAACCTATTTGCAGGGCGGCAGTGGAGACAGACACAAAGAACAGACTTGTGGATGCAGTGGGGAAAGGGGAGGGTGGGATGAATTGAGAGAGTAGCATTGAAACGTCTCTGTTACCATATGTAAAAGAGATGACCAGTAGGAATTTGCTCTAAGACACAGGGAGCCCAAATCCAGTGCCCCGTGACAGCCCACACAGGTGGGATGGGGAGGGACATGGGAGAGGGGTTTAAGAGGGAGAGGACATGTGTATACCAACGGCTGATTCATGTTGATGTATGGCAGAGACCAACACAATATTGTAAAGCAATTACCGTCCAATTAAAAATAAATAGTTTTTTAAAGTGTTAAAAGATAACAGATTGCTTTATTGGAAGTTTTAAACCATGATCGGGCACAATATTTGCCAAATAAATGATCAAGGCAATATGATATGGTACACAACTTCTGCCCACCTCAGAACACACCTGGTGGGAGAACGAACTAGACAGGAAGCAAGAAGACCACTTTAGCTGCCTCTGCGATCTACTGGTGGTGGTGGTTTAGTCACTAAGTGCATCATGTTAAGTCGTTTCAGTTGTGTCTGACTCTTTCTGATCCCACGGACTGTAGCCTACCAGGCTCCTCTGTCCATGGGATTCTCCAGGCAAGAGTACTGGAGTGAGTCCCCGTCCCCTACTCCAGGGGATCTTCCTGATCCAGGGATCAAACCCACATCTCCTGAGACTCCTGCATTGACTCTCAAATATTGAGGAATGTAATATTCCCAAATAGAATTCCTAAAGGCCCCTACCACATCCCAGCTGAATGACCACATGCAAAAGACTTTATCTCTACAAACCTCTATGTCCTTAGAGAGGAATGCTTGCTTTGAGGGATTGCCCTGAGACTTAAGTAGGAAAATGTGGAAAAAGCAAAAAGCCCAGTGACTAACATTTTGTAGGGTTTCAAAAGACAACTGAATCCTTTTTTATAGACACTTGCACATTACACTATGATTTATTTACTTAAAGGTATATTTCTTACCTCCAGTTATGGTTCCTCCCGGGTATTAATTATGTCTTCATCAAAGCTGTGTTCCAGTGCCCAGTCCCTTGCTGACCACATGAGAGGGACTCATGAATATTTTGAAACAGTTGTAAAGGTCCCATCACCCAAGAATGCATAATTCTTATCACATTATAATCATCTGAATTCTAAACCAGAAGACTGGCTAAAGGATCATAAGATCCTCGGAACTTGTAGGTTGTGTAAGACTTCTGCAAAAAGCTATACTTATTAAATAATATGGGCTTCCCAGGTGGCACCAATGGTAAAGAACCTACCTGCCAAATACAGGAGACATAAGAGACGTGGGTTCAATCCCTTGGTCTGGAAGATCCTCTGGAGGAGGGCATGGCAACCCATTCCAGTACTCTTGCCTAGATAATCCCATGAACATGTAGATTATGTGGGCTACAGTCCATACAGTCCATCACAAAGAGTCTGACACGACTGAAGTGACTTAGCATACACACACGTATTGAATAATATACAAGACTCAGTGCAACCATGTAACAAAACTGGTTTCTTGAGTCAGTTTCAATACTGACCTTCAGCACACGTTGGACGTTCATTGTTTTTACCTGCTCAGCATCCAATCTTCTTTGAGAAACTACCCCTTCGCTAAATCAGTCCATGTGAATAGGGCATGATAGATGCCCTACCCTTGGTGCTAGGATGCCATGTGACCCACATTGAGCCAAATTAAAATATCCCATCCTCCCAGCTACAGAGATTGAGTCAAGTAAATGCATGTTTCCCAACTCAGGCCAATGAAGGCCACTGAGCATCAGCTCCCGGATTGTAGAAACAGTTACTAAGAAAGAGACTTCTTTTTCCTCTGAAGTTGCTAAAACGTAAACCGGATGTGAGCCACCAGGTTGGGAGTGTTGGCCTGAGTTTGAGGTCAACATAAAAAAAAAAAAAAAATGAAATGGCTCTGAGCGCTTAGATCCAATCATGCCTGAAGTCCCACTGAACTTTTCATTTAAGGGTAACAGCAACTTCCCCTTTTATGTACAAAAAAATTAGCAGCTGTAATTTCTGTTGTCTCCAAAACAGTCATAACAAATTCCAATATTAGAAAAGGAATTGTCAGTAACAGGCTCTAAAATGGATAAATTGCTGAGGGCACCCTGGGAGGAGGTCCGTGGAGACTTATTTATATGTTAAGTCAAGCAATTACCCTGCATTCTCATTGTCCAGCTTCGGGTAGTGACTTGTACTTTGGGATTCAGATCATGTGCCTATCAAAGCTACACAATAGGTCAGAGGTTGGAAGGGCTTGGCTCCACTTGAACGCAGTCCCTCTGAGGGCAGAAAGGGAAGAAAATATAGTATCGCTAAAGCAGTTCCATTTCTGGCTGAGGCCAACAATCCAAGAAGGCTCAAAGTTGGCAATCTCAGCAAGTCTTCAGGGTTAAAAAAAAAAAAAAAAGCAAAAATATTTGTACCAAACTAAAGTTAGTGAAAAAAAAAAAAAAAAAAAATCATTGGCAAATATAATCAGGAGGATTAATTGAGGTCTCACAGAGCCTTCACGAGCCCCTGTCCCTCTTAAACTCCCCTTAAGTCTGGAAGATCCAAGTTAGGAAAAATTAAAATTACCTCACGGCAAAAAGCCGTCCATGGAGATGTAATTTGGGAGCAGAGGGGCATGTATTAGCTGTGGCTCCCACCCTAAGAAGTTGTTCTGAATGACCCTGGAGAGGCCCAGGTAGAAGTCATTTAAGCTGAGGGTTAAGGGCATGAACGGAACATTCAGGGCTGTTGCTAGGAGACAGAAATCCCTGGGCTGGGAGTAAATTTCAGCACTGTCTCCAGCTTTGATTATGGAGTTGATCAAATGCAAATAAATACTAAACTACTACCTGGCAAACAAAGGACTGAGGTTCCTGAATTCCTAATTAAAAAAAAAAAAAAAAAAAGGTAAAGTTCCTGTAATATCACCAATGCCCAGGTCAGATGTGGTCACAGAGGAGAAAGACTTGTGACCAGGATCCAGGAAGACCATCCTGGCCAGCACAGGAACACACTTCCCAGCAACTTAGGAAGTCCTTGCATCTTTTGGCCAACAGGATATGCTTATGTGCTATGGACAGTGGTCGCTGTGTGTAACTTTCCCTTTTCCAGATGGGCTTTTTAAATTTCTTGTCACTGATCTGTTGGGGGATGTTAAGTGTATCAGATAAGTTGTCATATCATGACAACCCTAACTAAGAGCAGTGTAAATCTTCCCAAGATCCGACTTGTTACAAGACCCAGTAATTACCTCTTATATTGATCTTTAAACTTCCGTAGACTGATTAAGTCACCAAGTGGTAATTTATTTTGAAATGAATTTTTCTGTGTGGTATGGAGTAGGGGCTGTGGTTTATTTTTTTCTCATATGTTGTTCCAGTACATTTGTTGAAGATTATCCCTTCCCTATGAAGTGATTTTGCTTTTGTCAAAATGAACACATCCAGGTCTATTTCCAAGTTCTCCGTTTCTTCCATTGATTATATGCCTACCCTTATGACAATTCCATATTGTCTTGAGCACTGTAGCATTTATAAAAGGTCACGAAACCAGATAGTATAAGTCCTTTGACCTTGTTTTCCTTTTTTTCAGAATTGTTTTGACTATTCTAGGTCCTTTGCATTTCTGTGTAGATGTTAGAATCAGCTTCTTAATTTCTACAAAAATGACCTCTGCAATCCTGGTTGTAATTTCATTGACTCTGTTTCAGTTTAGGGAAAGTGAACATCTGAACAATATTTAGTCTTCCAATCCATAAATATGGTATATCTCTATATTTTAAATTTTAAAAATTTCTCTTGGAAATATGTACTGCTTTCAATACACAAGTCCTTCCTCTCTTTTGTTACATACATTTAAAAGTATTTTATGCTTTTTGATACTGTCCTAAATATCTTTAATATTTATTTTTATCTATTTGTTACTAACATAGAGTCACACAGTTGATTTTTTAAGTAATAAATTATACATTTATATGGGATGATTTGATTGTTATGTTATCAGCAAGACTCCTTTTGGATTTTGTTCAAATTACCTGTCATTTTCTATCACATATTCAATACATATTTGCTGACTCTTGTGTACTGGGTAAGAATCTTTTGAGGTTGTTTATTTTTTCATCTGTTTTTTAGTGGAGTGTACTTGCTTCACAATGTTGTGTTGGTTGTTGTGCAGCAAAGGGAACCAGCGCTGTGTACACATACATCTCCTCCTCCCTGGACCTCCCTCCCACGCCCCTTCCACCCCCCGAGGCCGTCACAGAGCGCCGTGTACACAAACATCTCCTCCCTGGACCTCCCTCCCACGCCCCTCCCACGCCCCGAGGCCGTCACGGAGCGCCGTGTACACATACATCTCCTCCTCCCTGGACCTCCCTCCCACGCCCCTTCCACCCCCCGAGGCCGTCACAGAGCGCCGTGTACACAAACATCTCCTCCCTGGACCTCCCTCCCACGCCCCTCCCACGCCCCGAGGCCGTCACGGAGCGCCGTGTACACATACATCTCCTCCTCCCTGGACCTCCCTCCCACGCCCCTTCCACCCCCCGAGGCCGTCACAGAGCGCCGTGTACACAAACATCTCCTCCCTGGACCTCCCTCCCACGCCCATCCCACCCCCCGAGGCCGTCGCAGAGCGCCGTGTACACACACATCTCCTCCTCCCTGGACCTCCCTCCCACGCCCCTCCCACGCCCCGAGACCGTCACAGAGCGCTGTGTACACACACATCTCCTCCTCCCTGGACCTCCCTCCCACGCCCCTCCCACCCCCCCGAGGCCGTCACAGAGCGCTGTGTACACACACATCTCCTCCTCCCTGGACCTCCCTCCCACGCCCATCCCACCCCCCGAGGCCGTCACGGAGCGCCGTGTACACACACATCTCCTCCTCCCTGGACCTCCCTCCCACGCCCCTTCCACCCCCCGAGGCCGTCACGGAGCGCCGTGTACACACACATCTCCTCCTCCCTGGACCTCCCTCCCATGCCCCTCCCACCCCCCGAGGCCGTCGCAGAGCCCGCGCGGAGCTCCTGCGCTGCCCAGCAGCGCCCCACTCGCCATCTGCTTCACACGTGGTGGTGTATACATGGCAGTGCTAATCTCCCAGTTCCTCTCACCATCACCCTCCGCCTCTGCGTCCACGTGTTCCTTCTCTGTGTCTCTGTTCCTGCCCTATACTTGCATGTATCCTGAGGACATCCTAACAAATAGGTTCGTTTGTTAAGTTTAGTTGATTCTTTGTTTTTTTATAGACTCCTTAGTTTTTCTATCATGTCTGTCGTGAACAGAGACAGTCTTACTCTTCCTTCTGAATCTTTATCCCTTTTAGTCCCTTTTCTAGCTGTGTCCTCTAGTTTCTCTGAGAGCTCACAGTACGATATTGAAGAAAAGTGAAGAGAGCAAACATCCTTGCCATGTTCTCACTCCTAGACAACAGCATTCCATGTTTTATCATTAGCTATGATATTTTTAGTAGATATATTTTAAATGGTTTTTATCAAATTTGGAAACTTCTCTGCTAGTATTAATTTGCTGAGAGATTTCATCATATGTGGGTGTTGGATTTTGCCAAATGCTATTTTCTGTATCGAGATTTTCATGTGATTTTTCTTCTTTATCTTATTAGCATGGTGAATTACATATATTACTTTTTAACTGTTAAACAAGCCTTGTTTTCCTAGGGTAAACCCATTGCAGTCAGGATGTATTATCTGTTTTCTAGCTATTACTTGATTTGATTTGCTAACACTTTTATTTTTCCATCTGTGCTAATGAGAGGTATTAATAGGGACAAAATGAAGGGACAAAGTAGGTGACTAGTTAATCCCACTACGGGACTATAAGTAGAAAAATATGAGAGACACCTGTAAGTTAGTAATTACTCAAGAAAGCGGGTTTGCTTAACCACAAACCAAGCAGGCTTGCTTAGCAACAAAACCGTGCAACGGTCGCACAGGACATGGCCCAGAGCAGTGAAACAATGGTGGCTTGAGACCCACACTCTGCCCAGTGAGGTCAGTAAGGTAGTGATCCCTAGGACATGCTCTCTGTACAGATAAAAAACAACAATTTGTGAACCTTGCTTGACAGTGTAGGGACAAGAAAACTCCCCTGCTCAACCTGGAAAAGGAGCTGAGGATGGAAGCATGACATCTACTCAAGAAAGACAAAGAACTTCTTCACCTTCTCCTCAGTTCTTGGGCACAGCATTTCTCACCCACGGGCTTGTAAATCTCACAAGTGTCCTATTCTAATAAATCTCTTCTTATCTACCACTTTGCTCTTGCTGAATTCTCCTCTGCACTGAGACATAAAAGACTCTGGTACCAGAGTTCTTCAGAGTTCTTCGCTGAAATGACCCCAATCAGTTTCAGTATTTAGTTTATAATACTTTTGTCTTCTTGCAATGTCTTTGACAGGCAAATTAATGACTGTTAACAAATTTAAACTTGTTAGCCTGGCTTTTCGGCCATGGAAACCTCTAATGTTTCTCATTTCCTATAACTTAGTGAACTCAACTTTCAAACTCTGTCTCACCTGTGGAACTTGTCAAAG